TGGCTCATGCCCCAAGGTCCTGGAAGACTTAAGCTTCCTGAGCAACAACATTACTGCCACGGCGCTGAAGAATGTGCGAGAGGTGCACTATAGTACTGTCATGAGGAATGAAGGATGAAATCGTTCTGCCATTCTGGGTGCTGTGCCGCCGCATGTGCCGCAGGCCCAGAAGCTGCCAGCCTGGCAAGCAAGGCAAAACTTGCAAAGGCTGGTTGAGTGAACTGCCACGTACCGTCGTTTGTGGAGGCACTTGGGCTTGACCCGAACCCTCACACCGGAACTGCAAGCCTGGTGCGCGACCTGGACAAGCAGATTGACCTCACGAATGAACTTAAGCTGAATCTAGGTCCGAGTTGGCGGATGGCAGCTCCAATTCTGCCTTCATTGCTCAGTTGGTGCCACCACCCTCAGATTCAGGGTCATTGCAATGGCTGAGCATAGTTAAGTGTGGGGATAAGATTCTAACGTCAGGCAGTTTGACATATTTGAAGCAAGCCTCACTTTGGTTTGCAGTCTTAGACAACAGTGTTCCCCAGTTGCAATCAACTTCCCTCGTTTCGTTTAGCTTCAACCATGAAGGGCTCAAGCCATGGGGTCTTCGTGTTGAAGGCTCGCTTACGTTTTCAGTGGGGCTTAGCAGGCTGTGGCACATGGTTGATGCCAACGTGATATTGCTTTGCCGGGAGCCTGAACTCCCCAAAATGGTCCCCTCATGCTTATGATGGACATCAGGGATTACTCGGGTAATTGTCCAAAGTGGGGTACCCTTTTGAGGCCATACACGTTTCTAGTCAACACAAGCTTCTTCAACCTGGGCCCTGAACTGCAACTCTGGAACCTCAACCCCAAATCAATAGACCCTCAACGCAGCAAAGCGAGTTCACTTTCAAAGCTCTGGCATTCAGCCCCTTCTAAACCCTTCATCCAGGCATTCATCCCAAATCACACGGGAGATATCCTTCTGAGGCCGGGAGCAGCGGCGCGGGCGGCCTGCGCCAGGAAAGAGGCCGTGGGGTCAAGATCTAAGGTTTAGTGTTCGGGTTGGTGTCTGAGTCTAGGCCTTCGGCATGATACGGTGTATGTGGGTTGAGTTTTTTTTTGTGTTATGTCCCCTGCGGTCTGTTTGTATTGTACTCTGCCCAGGCACACCATACTAGGTCGCTGTATACTCTACTCTGCTGTACAATGCTGAATCATACAGCCTTCCACTGGATGATGCTAGGCTTTGAGTACATTTGAGGCAGAGCAAGAAAAAACCAATGTCAGTGAGGATTGGAAAACCTCCGCGCAGCAACTCAGTAGCATCCAGACATCCAAGCTGCTTGGGTAGAGGGGAACTTCTAAAATTCAAAACTCCAAACTCCCCCCCCAGCTCCGAGCAGGGGAGTGGATCCGTGTCATACTCCCTTTAAGATCCCCTTGAAGTTTGTCAGAACCCATATTCCCTACCCTGCTCTCCCTTAAGCACCAGTAAGGTTTTCAGTACTTGGTGTGAATCCCAAAGCTGCAGAGCCTGCCAGGCTGCCATGCTTGCCGGTGCCTAAGTAGAGTGCAGTTACGAGAGCTGATCTCAGCGCGCATTTGAGTAATCGAGCTGTATGGTGAAAAGTGGAAGAAGACGCATGCGGTGGCTCAAATCTCCTCCAGACTGGTTTTCAAGATTGGACTGCCTAATCCCCACTGCAGAGAAGGCTTTCCAGAACAAGCCAAAAAACGCAGACGCACCAGACCAACAGATTTCGGTGATAGGCGGCTGTTAGTGGAATGGGTTCCAGACGCACAAAGCTCAGCAGGCTGCTACATGCTGATACCTTTGCCTGTCTCGCTGCTTTTCAGAATCGTTCTTGAGCCCTCCAGCATGCCTCAGCAAACCCAAGGCGCCCTTGGCGGCCATTGCAACGGGGCTCGGAGGCTGGTGCCTGCAATTTTCAGATCTTTGAAGCTTCGCGTCTCAGGCGTGAAGATGTAGTCAGAATGAACGGATGTTCCGCAAAAAAGCTTTTTCCCTAGGCAGCTGCATCCTGTTCAAAACGTGTGGGGCCGTTCAGTCCTCAAGACACATGTCATGTGTGATCCAAGGCGCGGTGTGTGGAGTGACTTGCAGCCAGTTTGGGTAACTCTTCACGCAGTGTCCCAATCGGCAGCCACCTTGTCTTATATGAGCCATTCAGAACTAGGGCCCCGATGCTCGAACCAAGGAACCACGCAACACAGATAGGCTAGATCTTCCAAAGCTCCAAAGGATTTCAACCCGCAAGCTCGAAGCCGTACACGGGCTCCATGTTGCAGAACATCTGTGAGGTGCTGCGTCGCGGCCCTTGGCCGAAGCACCTGAGCACAGCGTCCGCCTGGGTGAGGCTCGTTTGGCGCAGGCGAAGCTGTGGGTTGGATTCGGGAGAAGCCATTGTTCTAGCAGTTCTTACTACGCCCTAGGCCTTGACCCGGTTTTTACTAGGTCTTGACCCGTTTCCGTACTTAAGCGTGTGGCTCCTACACAAGAGCGGCCTGGAAATTGCACCAGGTGCTGACTGACGTCTTCGCTGAACTTGCCGGAGTGGAGGCTGGTGCAAGCTCGATGTTGGCAGTGATGGGCTTTCAGCGATCTTTCAAAAGGGTTCATGCAAGGTCAGGGCTTCTAACCTGCTCGACCTCTTCGAAGACACTAGCAACCAGGGTTTGCAGAGGCACGCGCTGGAGGCTCAGACCCGCCCAAAATGCATGGAAGCACAGGCTCTGCACCCGTGGTCCAACAAAAAACTCGGGGATGGAGCAAGATTCCTTCCCTTCTCTAGCTCCTTCACTTTCTATCGTTGTTTGGTGCCCACTCAGCGTCTGCACTTCAGGCCTGTTGGTGGCATTTCGATTCCAGAGCTGGAATCTAAGGGAGGCTGTCGCGAGCTACTGGGAGGATAACCCTAGGTCCTATACCCTATATAACCCCAGTACAATCTCTATACAACCCCATTCTAATCCATATATAACCCTATTACAGTCCCTATATAACCCCATCATAGTCCCTATATATCCCCAATATACTAGCGCAAGTTTCTGGCAACTCTTTTGCCAAGGCTAGCAGCCATGGTGGGTTCTGCAGCGGCTGCGGATGGTGTTCCAGCAGATGTCTCGTCATCCCAGCTGATTTGATTGTGGAAAAAAAACCGCCAGGGTACATGTCTGCGCAGGTGATGTTTACTGCAGTTCGGTCTGCTTTACAGGGTCAGTCCCAACACTGGTTACCCGGACCATCAATTAACGGCGCAAAGACCCCTAGGCCCTTTAAGCTCAGCATTTTATTTCGGACCCTCGACCCTGTCCAAATGCTTTCAGCAATCCCAAGCCATCAAGCTCAACATGGACCTTTTGGCTTTCAACTGATCAATCGTAGTCCCGAAGCCTCTTCCGTGATTCCCGTGTCAGGTTTGAGGGCCGCGAGGCGCGGGCTCAGTTGGAGGCCAGGGCGCAGTCCGGGCGCCCATTTTGGGATCAGGAATTATGCGATTTTTGGGTTTAAGGTTCACGGGCTTGGCACAGCAACGGCCACGATGGTTCTCATGGTTTCCACGGTTTCCAGCATCATACTCCCACCAACCGAAGCTATCGTGGTTCGATCACTGTAACGCTGTAACGACTCCATCGCTTTAGCGCTTTGGGGTTTCTTTGTGCGAGGTTAGCAGGTTGGCAGGAAAGACTGGCTGGGGGCTCGTGGATTTTTGGGAGGCTTAAGTCAGGCTTAAGCCTCTTTTGTTCGAGCTTGTGAGTTGGATTTCAGTCCAAAGACCTTCCGTTGAAGAGCTTCTTTCCAGCTGGTAGGATTGAATTGCGATCAACCAGTTTGCGCTTGAAGATAGTACAGTGCACTCCTGACCAGGGAGTTTTGATGCCCCAGTGAGCTGAGGAGATCGGATCGCTTTTCCGAAAGTTATGTTTCTAAACCGCCCCAGCGGCTGGACATGCAACTATGCAAATGGGGCTGTGCCAGAATTAGGCGCCACACAATATCATGCTATCAGGATTTGACGAAGAGATTCTGATTTGAGCTAGAGTGGAAACTCCTTAAGGGGGATCATATACTGTAGGGGATTATAGGGCGGTATTCTAGGGGTTATTAAGGGGGATACTAGGAGTTTAGACTATCGCTCATGTGGGCTACATAGCCCTACACCCCAGAATGCTCCATGATCCCTCTGTAATGCTGCAGAATCGTCAGCTAATGGGATTGCCCCGCCAAGTTTCGGACCTTTCACAGACTTTGCGGTGGACCTCCGGGAGGAGGCGGGATGGTTGTCAAAGTCGTGATATATATATATATAATAGTTATTATCTTATATTATAGATCATATTATATATGTAATGAGTATATATATATGTATATGAGGTAATATTGGACAATGGAAAAGAAAATGGAAACTACTACAGTATCATAGGTGTATAATATAGGGGTTACATGTTCTGGCTACCCTAAGCACTGGCAGCCGTATCATATTACTAGCAGGACCCATGAAGGGAACAGAATTGAGTACTATGCACGATAGGTTTTTGGATCACGCTCGTCATAATATAGAGTAAATATGGAGGTACCTTTGGCAGGTAGGGCTTCTGTCATGATTTTTTGCTGAGCGTATTTACTTAGGAATATAGTTCAGTGTATACATGGGGTATCCATTTAGGTGCATTTAGAGAGACCATAGACATACCAAGACTACTGTCTCTGTCTCAAAGCTGAGCATGCCAATCTCCATATATAACCCCTATATTATACACCTATTATACTGTAGTAGTTTCCATTTTCTTTTCCATTGTCCCAATATTACCTCATATATACATGTATATATACATATAATCCTCATTACATATATAATATGATATATATATAATAATATAATAAGTATAATATATATGTATATAAATATGTATTACCCCCAACAAAAGTTAAAGTCGAACAGCTGTTACATTGTTACATGCCTCACCCGTACCCTCAGGTTCGTCAGCGCATCCGCGTTATGGGCTTACCAAAGCCCTTGCCGATGGGGAGCCTTGAGGAGCCGTTGGCCTAGTTTCAGAGTGACTGACAAGTATAGCCCGCACACTTCAAGGATCATGCAATCTGGTTATTTCGCTGCATCCAGGCCGATGAGCTATGTGAATGCCAGCAGAGAGCTGGAACAGGCCGCTCAGTATCGGATCAGCAGCAAGCTCTTGGGCAGCGTGAAGTCTGCAGGTGAAGGTGCCTGAAGAGCCCATGGAGACGGAGGGTGCTCGTATTGCCGAGGTTTGGGTCTTTCTTTCCAGTGGTGGATGCACACTGCACGTTCTTCTGGGAGGTTGAACGGGAAAGTGCAGCACAATGTTTTGTGGCATGCCATAGGACTGCCTCCTGCATGCCAGGTGATTAGTGAGAAGCTAGAGACGTTGAAGCTCGTCAAGGACTGATGGGTTCACAATTTCGTGTTGCTATGTAACTCTGTAACGTCAGTTCTGCACGGAATATGCTGGTGGGAAAGCTGGGCTGGCTATGCTTCAGGATGACAGTCTTCGCGAATCTCTTTCGGCCGAGGTCTGTGCCGAGGCATCGCTGCTTTTTCATGCTGAAGCCGGGCATTTCCCGAGCAATGAAGTGATTTCACTGTCAACCTTGGCCCTTAAGGAAGCGGCCCATCTGGTGGTTCTCCAGCAAAGCGGCAAGACGGCCGTGGTGCATCGCCAGGGGCTTGGGGAGGAAAGGCTGCTGAAAGCCTTGCTGAGCCGTGCTTCTTTTGATTGAGTCTCTGAAGGACTTCTGTCTCGACAAACCCTGACTTCTCACATTTTCAAAATATTGTGTCTCACGAGGGGTGTTTCATGTTCGAGTTTTTGAAGAGAAATGAAGCACGCGTCCACCTTCGCCACGCAAGTTCGAACCCCTGTACTTGCAGACTAGCCTGAGTTCTTCGCACTACCCATTCTCGAACTCTGGATGTTGGAGGTGGGCTGAGCCCCCCATTCACAACATGTTCCGTGTGGTGTCTGTGCTTGCTGCCTGGCTTCGGCTAAGATATTCCTGGAGATGAGCAGTGGCGGCCGACCCCTCAACATTTTCTAGTGGTACAGCCTTGCACCGCAGTAGGGCTGATTAGGGGATACTAGACGAGCGGGTATCAGACCACCTTGATAGGTCGTTCTACCAGCCAATCGAGGACCATGGACATCAGAAGCAGCTTGCTGAACAGCATGCGTTTTGCGTCCCATTTTCATGGTAGCCTCGTTTGAAGCAAGTAGTAGTGATGCTGCTGGTTGGTCCCGTTGCATCTTGGCGACGTGACATGTGACAGGACTGCTCCAGCTATACTCCGGATGTTATGATGATGAGCAAGATGAAAGGCCGTTACCCGAGAAATGGAGTTGACGTTGTACTTGCAGAGAGTAGTGTGGTAGGCTACTTCCTCGACATGGGTGGTCTGGTGGAGGATCAGGAGGCCATGCTTCTTTGAATTGATGCCTTGGTTTGTTTCATGCCCATGCAGCTGCTTGGCCGACTCGCTCCATGTTGCCTAAGCAGAGTGTCGTGACCGAGTCTGTTCCGCCCTGCAGGCAATGCTAGCCAAGAAACAGCGATTCATGGGGGTGAAGCGGCTGAAGACAGAGCCTGCTCTCGGCTCTCTGGAGTAGCCGTTGTTTGTTTAGAATTGCCAGGCTTGCACATATGTATGTATATGCGTACATGCATGCTGCTCATAGCACTCAAAGACCAACTTAGGGGAGATCCTCAATCGATGTGCTAATGGTCAGTTTCTGGCAAGGCCCAGCTTGACAAGGCCAATGCTGGGGCCAGATTCAGTTTATTTTAATGAGAGTGCCTTGCAGAAATGTGCAGTGCGTTTCATTGCACGCTTGTGTTGCAAGGTTCCGGGCATGCCACAGCTTGAGAGCGGGAGCAGTGTTGTGTACAATGTTCGTGATGTTGGAAGTCTTCTGTTATGCAGGCTCAGGTCCGCTCTAAGAAGCTGAACGGCGTGTTCGTGTACTCTGTAGCTAACGATGGCTAATGTCTGCTGTGAGTTCGCAGCTTCTCACGCCCAGTGGCCCTCAGAGAGGTGCTGGCGTCGTGTGGTCAGCGCGTCACCGACGCAGCTTTGTTAAAGGAAACCTCTATCCAGTAGAGGCTTGGCCAAAGCTGCCATTTTGAGACCCTGCCAGGTCCCAGCCGTGCTTGACGGTTTGACGGCAAAGCACCATGATTGCCTGAACTTGCGTGAGTTGATGGATAGTTCTATGCAGTTCTAAGCAGCCAGACTTTCCACAATTGCAAGTAAAGTCAAGAACAGCAAACAAGATGATTCTGCTTCATATGAGCTGTACGAGCGTGTTGGACCTAATCTTGCTAGCGCCCTTGAGAGGGGCATGAAAGGAGGATCAGGTAGCTATGAAAACGAGGCGCTCTCCTTCCCCCCGCAAGGTGTGAGGAGCTGGTGGCAGAGAACAAGCGCCGAGTCGCCGAGGTACGCAAAACTCCTCAAGAGTCAAAGATGTTCTCCTATACTTTCAGTCAGGATCTTTAGCGAGGACTTTTTAGAGGACCCCTCCCTGACAGAGAAACTCTCATGTTGCCAGGCTGAGGCCTCGAGCCCACTGCGTAGCCGGCGGGATGCCGCCGAGACGGAGATCGAGGCCTGAAGTCCATCCAAAGGGCAATGCCAGTGGTGTAGCTTCCATACTGCATTGATTTCTGCTATTCCAATACCTCAGCCTGTAAGCCTATGTAAGATATTCTAAGCTCGATGCGCAACAACGTTTCAAGCTTCAGGAGCATCTCCTCAGGTTGTGCAGCGAAGCATCGAGAAGCTTTCGGAAAAGAAGGCTGCTGTGGTGTTGAGCCCGGAAGGTACGATGTCAGATCACGTGCGGCATTCGGCATCTTTGAAGCCGAAAAGAAAGAATGTGAAATTCTTACATACTACTTTCAGACGCTGGAAAGGGAGGGACTAGAGAACGAGGTGTTGGGGCATTTTCGCATATTTTCGCGGAATCTAGGCCCACCATGGTACACATGCTGAAGTACTGCGGGAAGTCTGGAAGCATACAAATTCGTTATCGTGCTGCCAAGAAGTGCATGCATTGAATGAGACTTTGAGGCTGCCGACATCGATGAGCAGCGGAGAGCCAAGGCCGGGGTAACCTCCTGGGCATAGTAAGCCAAGCCCGCGAAAGACTAATGTTTCGCTACGTTGCGCAGGATGCCAGCAACTCCCGAGAGGCCTTGCTGTGATGCGATGGATTGTCAGCTTGAGGTCAAGCCTGTGAGGTTGAAGGCGGAGCAGCAGTGGCGGGTCTCGAGATTCTGGGTAACCGGCAATGCAGTCCCGGCTCATCCATCCAAGTTCCCCCGTAGTTTCCAGTGGATGTCTTCATCCAGTTCCATCTTCGTTCGTTTGAAGGCCACAAGCCGCGGGGACTTGTCCCAAGCTCTCAAGGCGGCTTTTGGCCTACGACTTTTCAAGCCTTCTTAGGCCTCAGGCCCTTAGGATTCAGGATCTGAGCCCCCACGCAGCCATAGCAAATGGCTTCAGGATGTAGGGCTAGGAATTCTAGTGTTTCTCGAGGAGTAGCATGTAGTTCGAGCTGGGGGCTTGGGGTGTGGTATGTTGGCTGTATTGCTCAGCTCGGGATTGAAGATCTTGGTCATTGGCCGTGACAGCGGGGTTCATGGTATGCGAGTTTGGGCTTGGGGCTGATTTGCGATCGCATTTTTTTGCAATCAAGTTGGCAGCTCTTTGCCGCAGCATATTGCCATGAAGTACAAGTTGGGCTTTCGGACTGCAAGCACTGCCTCAGCCTCGTCATGCTGCTTTTTTCCTGATTGACCGGCCGATCTCCAGAAATTGCTTCTTTTGGGGAGGGGTGATGCAGTTCTGCAAGGAAGCCCGAGCAGTTTCCAAAGTCAAGGGCTCCACAGATCTACTACAAAACCACGGACCTGCTCCATACACCTTATCCCTCCCAGGAGTCCAGGAGGGTCCTCCATCCTTGGCACCCCTGTATGCGTAGAACCCTAAGATCCCCTCATCCCTAGTGCGCAGCGATGATGTGCTGGTTTTGGGGGTTTTCACCACCTTTAAGGGGTCAAGATTATAGTACAAATGCTACTAAACCTTGAGCCAAGGTTTGGACACTTCCTCGGGTTACTGGTCCACACCCTGGGTTCATCTACAGTGAAGCTTCTACAATCCCCATGGTTGTCGCTAAAGAGGAGTCATCCACACATGTCACGAAACATCCCTTGCGCCGAGATGTTTTAATCTTCGTTACACTCCCGAAAAAATGGAGCCCAAAACCCTTTCAAACCCTCTTTGCCTTGGCCTTAGTATACGTGTACGGCCCCCAAAGTTCCTTTGATCATCGCAAACACCGCTCTGCCATCAGGTAAGGCAAGAGCTGGCAGCCGCGCTCACCGGCCTCCAGTCGCAATTTATGGAGAAGCGCCTTGTAAGGGGTTTGCAGGGGTCCTTGTTGTGGTGCATGAGGCTTCTATGTGGACGTGTCAGCAGTCCTGCCTCCTAAGACTCCTCCACCAGAAGAATTCCTCAAGTCCTTCATCCAAGAACAACTCAACTAGTATGGTTTGTTTCCAGGGTGATTATTCTTCGGCAGCCCTGGCCAATGTACAGGAGCTCTCATGTCCTCGGCTACGTAGCAAGATGTTGATGCGACAAAATTATTTTCCCTTTGTATTTGGGGTCCCCACTTGGAGAGACCATAGATTTCAGTTCTACCGCTGCCTCAGAGTATACTACGTAGTCATGGTTATGGTATCTCATAATGAAGTATGACGCTTACTACCAGCAAATTGGCTTGAAGTTGTCGCTTCAGCATTTAGGGGCTTGTACATTTCAGGTTTAGGGGTATGGCGTTTAGGGCATATCGTTCAGGGTTTAAATTTGCGGGGTGATGTGTTCTGTGTACAAGGAAAACATACTTCTCAACTGGTGCCAATTAGTTCACTCAGGCTCCGGCAGCAACTCAATGGTCTTACAAGGATCCGTAGCAGTGGCAGCGGTATCGGACCAATCGCATATCTGCGAATTCCCAGCTCTTGAAGCAGCATGCTTCCGTGTAGCCAGCTCGTGGAAGGTGATGCAAAATGCTTTGGTTTCTGGCGAATCACGCCACGCATGCAAATAGGTTGCAAGTAATTGAAGAAGTTGCAAGGCGCCGAAGAAAGGCAAGCTGCATTGTGCAGCCCTCGGACGTGATTTCAATGGATAATCATGCAAGGTTGCTGTCACCGCTGGAGTTGAATGTCCCCCAAAAGTCTCAGACCGTCAAATGCCCACAGCTGAAATAACCTGAGGGAGAAGCAAACTCGCTCGATGGTCAGTCGAGATGTGGCTGCCCTGGGAATCTGCCTTATGTTCCCATGGTCAATGTAGTGGTCGGATTTGCGCAACCTGTCATTTGTCCTTTTGAAGCAGTTCTCTGTGAAGCATTCGTTCCAGAAAGGGCAACTCCTTAAACCCCTTTGGGCACCTGTGCAATAAAGGCATCCTGCTACCCCATCATGCTGGTTTCAGATTCTATGGGGAGGGCGTCATAGTAAGGGGGGCTGATGTAGCGCCGTGCCATAACGTGGGTCAGACTAGTGTACCAAATATCTCCTGGTCAGAAGAATTGGGCTTCAGTGTGCATTTAGTCTAGGAACAACGGGTTCATGTACGACGGGGTGATAAGTCAAAACCAGCTTCGAAGTACTCAGGGTAGAAGCAAATAATTCTAAAGTAAAAGTCTCAACCCTTGTACTCCTACTCCAACTCCTCCGACTGCTGTCCTCTTTGTATTCTTACTTCTGCCACCAGAGAGAGAGAGGAGTTCGGGCCCGAAATTTGGGACGGGATAGTAATTTAACCCATAAATGATTTTGCGGCCTTACGAAGCTAGCCTTTTGCTCATGAAGCCACCTTGAATCATTTCGCCCCATACTATCCTTGTGCAAGCAAAATTCCTTCAACATCGAATTGAATCCTTACAATTCCGTGAAGATTCTCGAAGATCCCGCCAAAAGTGATAGAGCTCTCTCATCACTCTCTTCCATGTGACATGCCATTCAGGGTTTAGGGCTTGGCCTGTGTAAATCCTACGGATCCTTGTGCAACTGCGCACATGCTCAAGTGTCACCCGTAGAAATTGTTGTGTATTACGCGTGCGTCATGAATGACAATCTGTTAGCACCAAATCCTGAACCCCAAAGCGTGAGGATGTTCATGTCTTTGAGTTTACATCCGTAGCCATTTTGG